GTTCGATGCCGATACTACCCATCACTACCTTTATAATCCCATCCACTTGCCGACCTTCATACCTAACCCTGCAAGATTAACCTTCTTAATGCAATCCCACCTTTGCTTCGGTATACCTCTGGAACCCTTTCCATTTGACCCACATGCACATTAATCTTTTAGGTATGGATGGATTGGATTGTTCATCATCTACCATCATTTCAATCAGTTTTAGTAGTTGAGATTTTTCAAAAAAATTATCATAAAAAATGATGAACCATTTCATTCCTTTAACCTATCCTATTTAATTTATTTAGGATACCTTAAGATTTTTGGAAATAAATTATCCCACAAAAAATTCAGAGTGAAGAAGGACAAATTAACCGCCGAATTTATAATGTTACAGTAGGATGAATTGGGTTATTTGTACCCAATGAATATAATTGAGATTAGGGGTACTCAGAAGAGCACGCCATCAAAATTTTTGGGAGGAGCAATTTTGGCGGGTTTTTGAATTTTAGAGGAGGGCACATTTTGGTGGGATTATGAATTTTCGGAACAAAAAGTTTCATACTAAGAGTCAAGGAGAAACCATGGAACAGACTACTAGTCTGTGGACCAGACCTCCCCCCTCCCTCCTCACCACCCTCCTCCACATCCCTAATTAGCATATGGTTGCACACTAAACAGAAGGAGAGCTATTTCCATTTCACGATAGACCTCTCTATAACCTCATTCAAAGTGAAGAAAGCCCCAATGTGCAACTTCAAGTAAACGAGGTTTATTATGGTGAAAACCACTTTATTTTTTATTGCTACTGAAGTTGCACATTGGGACTTTCTTTATTTTGAATGAGGTTTTAGAGAGGTCTATCGTGAAAGAGAAATAGCTCTCCTTCTGTTTAGCACAACCATATGCAATTTATAGGGATGTGGAGGAGGGGGAGGGGGGGAGGGGTCTGGCCCACAGACTAGTAGTCTGTTCCATGGTTTCTCCTTGTCTCTTAGCATGAAACTTTTAGTTCCGAAAATTCATAATCCCGCCAAAATGTGCCCTCCCAAAAATTTTGATGGAGCAACTTACTCCATAATACCCTCTTCTGAGCACCCCTGATCTCAATTATGTTTATTGGGTACAAATAACCCAATTCATCCTATTGTAACATTATAAATTCTGCGGTTAATTTGTCCTTCTTCACTCTGAATATTTTTTGGGATAATTTATTTTCAAAAATCCTAAGGTATCCTAAATTAAATAGGGTAGGTTAAAGGAATGAAATGGTTCATCTTTTTTTATGATAATTTTTTGAAAAATCTCAACTACTAAAACTTATCATATAACTAATAGCAGAATCAGAGAAGCTAGGGTCAAGTGAAGAAGGCAATTCCCTCGGGTGGCAGAATTTAGGGCCACCAAATTTCAGGAAATTGTTTTTTTGTTATTTTAGTTTATGTACAAATGTTTGTTTCTATTTTTCCCCCCTTAATTCAATTAATGACAGGAGTTAATTATATAATAAAGTGTTTATTTTAAAATACATATCGTAAAATACTGATATAAAATGTTGTGTTTTATTGGAGAAGCGAAAAATTTAGCTTACTCTTCCTTATTTCTCTTAATATGTTAATAACACCAATGCAACTGATATGATACATTGGGATGCAGAGGACGTGGGAGGGGAGTGGGGTGGCCGAATGGGATAATTTGTGTGCATAGCAACGCCATTGCCCGGCAACCTGATAGATGAAATAACTTTTTTAAAAATAGTCACGAGTTCGCTAATGGGTGGGGTGGCCGAATAGGCTAACGCGTGTGCACAGCACCGCCCATGCCCGGCAACCTGGTATATCAATCAAATGATATAAAAATAGTCACGAGTTCGCTTCCCAGTGCTGAGGGAGTCTTTTAAATCTCCGTCCACACTCTCTGGCCCGGGAAAACCCCGTATAGCCTTAAAGACGAAAAAATTGTCTTTTTAAACATTAATTGCTTATTTATTGTAAGTATAATTATTTGCATTACATTCATATATTATTATTTGCTCTATACGTTCTCAAATAAGAGTGGATTTGAAAAATGTTGCAAGGTAAAGTTGTGATGTAAGGTGTGTGACCATACATAAAGACAACAATATTGTTTAAAATTATAACGAATGCCAGGTACACATAGTAAATTTATATTTGCATCACAGTGAAGCCAATGTGATTAAAGTTGTGGGCGAGCTATTAAAAGTAATGCTGAGAGTTCAATATATTGCTTATTAGTTTATTAAAACATAATCAGGACACCAAAATTAGGTATCGGTGAAAGAATTACACATCAGCTGTCAGCTAAGCCCTAGAGCAAAATGATAAATCTAATAATTTAGACAAAATTACTTAATAATGAATATTACTTAAGTTTATTATAAAATGATAGAAGTAAGTGACATTATTTAACTATTATAGATTAAAAGAACTTTTTTATTGGCTTATATTTCTTCTAAAAACATTCTGACTACAAGTATTTTCTTATCCAACTCTTATTTAAATCAGGTTCTTTGTTAATTTTTTTAAATGTTTGCCTCCAAACCGTGGCCCCCCTAGCCTCAGCACCTGGGACGACGGCCCTGGTCGCCCTGCCCACGCGACGGCCCTGGCTAGTACAAATCTACTTGGTGCCTGAAATATAAAAGAATTGGTAATTAATAATTCCAATTTATAATAAGAATTGATTTGACCTTTATCAAAATCAGTCAAAATAACCGATTCCAAACTCAAATATAAATAAGACAGGAAATCAAACTGAAAAAAAAAAAAAGGACATGAAAATAGTTAAAATTGCTTAAACATTGCTGTAAGATCGTTATGCATGTTGGTACATTATTCTTATTATAACTTATTCTATTTCTGTTTGTCACCATATTTTTTTTTTTTCAAATTTCTATTCTAACAGGTAAACAAGAAAAATCAGGGATTGTATCTCTCACCAGACCTTCTGGAAACTTTTGCTCGGTTTGAATGTGGGTGTCGTGCAAAATTAGATTCACTTGTGAGAAGACAATTATCTCAGGCCTTTCACAAAATTTATGAAAATTTTGATATCATTTTTACTTTCACTTACCTATATATAAAATATAGAGTAAGAGAAAGTATTGCGATCGTGAAATTTTTTTAATCTCAGTTTTCAATGGAAATACACGTTTTGATGTCCCCTGAATCCAAATAACCAAGTCCCGCAAAATGGTCTGTATGTGTGGGTGTAACAGTCTATCTCTAAAACGAAAAGTCGTGCACAAGTGAAATTGCATATTTAAGGTTCTTATATGCTAGGGATGTTACAGCAACTTTTTGGTCTAAATTGACTGAACGAAAGTGGCACTTAATATAATGTACTAAGCACATTTTTGCGTTTTTCTCGAAAACAGCTTTAACGATTTTGATTAAATTCATCATATCAGTGTAAAATTAAGCAGTTTTAAATAAACCGTAGTTGTTATGTTTTCTAACAGGGTTTAAATGGCTAATTTTCAATATTAGCTTCCCCTAAAGTACCTTTAATTTTTTTTATTTGAAACAAATGGCCATTTCACATTAATCTCTAATGTAAAAGATAGTTAAATATAAAATATGAAAGAATTTTATAATTAACTAAAGGAGAGGTCAGAGATCATAATGGAAAATTGTTGTAATTGAAGAACCAAAGGAATAGGAGCTCACCCGAAAAATTAGAACATGCTTCCATATGTAACATGAGCTTAATATAATAAGGACGCCGGCAATATTATGTAAATGTACATATGCGGTTTTCATAGATGCTATTGTTGGCATTATTTAATATTTAATTGTATAGATTATAGTGATATGAATATTGCAATTTGTTTATATAAGAGTACTTACAAAAATAAAAATACCCACAATGAAATATAAATCAATATAGCGTTTGTAATTTTTTACTTTCACTTCCCCTTTGTCTAAAAATACTTATTTCTGCTAAGAAGAGGTTGGTAGGTGAAAGTTGTGTGATGCGCGCACCATACTAGATTTTTTATTAACAGTTAATAAAATTATTTCTATGATCTCAATGAGTATATATAGTAAGGGGAAGTATTGCTATCTTGAAAAATTTTGAATCCGGATTTTCAATAGCAATACACGTTTTAAGATTCCCTGAGTCCAAGAAACCAAGTTTCCCAAAAATGTGTTTATGTGTGTAACATATCTATGTGTAATCTTGATGAGAAAAAATGTTAAAATTGATGAAGATTTTGAAAGATAGTTTATCTCTGCCTTTAAAAAGAAGTTAACAAATTCTGTACATCAGAATATACTTGCAAATATAACACTGAAGAGTTGTTATTTATTATCAAATAAAGTATTAATTTCATCTCAGAAAATTAAAAACACAATTTAAAATTTATGATTAGAAACAAATGACTGGCAAATGCTCATTTGATAGCTTTTGAGAAGCACAAAATTCAATAGTGTACTGTAATTATAAATTTTCAATTTGACAACAAATTCATTGAAAATGATATGGGGTTTCACCATTATGTACTAATAACAATAACTTTTTTTAAAAAAGAGAGTTTAAGGGTTTATTTTTTTTTTGTTAATAAATTGTATGGGTGAACTTATTTGCTTAGCTTAAAATATTGAATCTGAAAATAATTGTTTAATTATAAATTCATTTTATTATGTTATGATTCTTAAATATGAAACCTGACTCCTTAATGTTGAAATCCTTATTACTTCCTCCCATTGAATGTGCAACATATCTTGTTTAAAATAAGGACAATAACTAATTTAACTTTATTTTTCCCATTGTAATTAATCTTACTGTACTCACTTTAAGTGTTGTGCAATAGTTTATTTATTATTTCCTGATACAGGAATAGTTTATTTATTTTTTTTAAATTGAGAGGGCCATTAAAATCTGTTGTAATGATAAATATTTATTAAAATAATTTTTTCAATTTAACTTACTATGAAATATTTCAATTGCTTCACTTTTTCTTCATTGATTATGTTCACTAATTTCAGGGTGTACAGCTTTGTCTACGCCATCTTCACCTACCCCTCTTACACTTCCTAGACTTCTTTCTGAGCGAATGAATGCAGTCAAAGCCACTTCCTTGCCTAATGTATTTGCTCGAGAGATGCAAGTATGTCGGAGTAGAACCTCGCTTGTTGTTAATCCTAGTCCTAAATGTAAATATTCAAGACTGAAGATAATCTCGCTGAAGACAGCTGAAGGTATGTTAAAATATTTCTTTTTGACCATAAGCTCTGTTGTTCTTCAAATATATTTAATATTCTATATAATTTTTAGCTAATGTATCGGAATATTTTTTTTTTCTTTAATGTAACACTATATGTTAAAATATATTCTATTAGTTTTATTATTTTAGTCTAAATGGTTATCAAACTTTTGAAGTAAGTATTTATTAAAGAATAAGTAAAAAATGTTTGATTTGTTGAAAGAAAAAATTAAATAAACTAACGATCTTGAATTTTTTTTTGTTACTGCTTCAACAATAATTGTCTCCAAACTGGTAATTCAAACCTGATTAGATTTTGAATTTCTTAATGCTCAACTTTTTCATCTGCTTAGCTTCAGATGGTGTTGGTAAAAGATAGAATTGTTTTTATTTTTTAGGATTTTGGTAATTTTGAAGAAATTAGGAGATTGGGGATTGCAGGGTGGTGACTAGCTTGTAAAAATGGGAAAAGTCAGGATATTTTCAAAACACAGAAAAATAGTTTAAGTCACAGAATTTTTCCAGTACATAAATATGTTTTCAAATTGGAAATAAATATACAGTGGATATCGTTTAGATGACATTTAAAGAGATAAACTTTGTCAATAGCTGACGCACTATATTTTTTTCCTAAAAACCAAAGGTGCGTTTAGACATTTTAAAAACTATGGAAATAATATATATATATATATATATATAGTTGTCGGTATCAAGAGAAATAAAGTAATTAGTTTGAGTTAGCAATAATGTCATTTTTAAAATAAAGGCATTAAAAATAAATGACTAAAACTTTAGTTTTCCTAAATAAAAAATCCTAATGATTCTTCTAAAGCATTATATTTGCTATTTAAAAGACTGAATGTTTTTTACTCAAATCATTTTGTTGTTAATTTTCATTCATTTATAATAAATAGATTTAGTTATAATTGTGGATTGTGGATTTTTAATGATCGCATGAACGAAGACAGAGACTCATTCAGGGAAGATTCCTGCTGGGTGTATGAAGGGACAGATATGACTGTTGGTTAGGATCAGGTCGAAAAGGAACTCAAGCTAGGAAAGAATAGTAAAGCACCAGGGCCAGGTGGAATTAATTTCAAGCTTTTAAAATATGGAGGGAAAAAAGTGGCAAAACTATTAACAAATATGTATAATAGAATATTGGGTGGTGACCCAATACCAAAACAAATTTTGGAGCTCAGTTACATCAATCCAATCTATAAAAAATTGGACAGAAAAAAATGCAAAAACTACAGAGGAATCTGTGTTACTAACCTTTTTGCCAAAATATTAGGGAAACTTATAAAAAACAAATTAGAACATAGGTTTAAGGGTTCAGAAGACCAATTTGGATTTACAGCGGGAAGATCATGCATTGACCATATATTCACCTGGAGACAATTGTTGGAGAAACATCAAGCTGTTTCCAGAAACATTGAACTAATATTTATAGACCTGGAGAAAGCGTACGACAGTGTCCCTCGAAGAATATTATATGGCAAGCTCTCCAAAATGCAAACATTAATATAGGTCTGATAGATATAATAAAGGAAATGTACAAAGGAAACACATGTCAGGTAAAAACTGGACCATACCTTTCTCAGCCTTTCTCAACAAGCAAAGGATTGCTCCAGGGGTGTTGTGCCTCTCCTTCTCTGTTCAAGATTTATCTTGACATTTGTTTGAAAGCATGGAGAATAAAATGTGAACCCCTGGAGAATCAGTTGAAAGAAAAGGTGTTCCTTTATAACCTATCCTTCACGGATGACCAGGTCATCATTGCACTGGACACAGAAGATGCTGGATATATGTTAAGAAAATTAAATGAGGAATACCAGCAGTGGGGACTAGTTGTTAATGCAGAGAAAACGGAACACATGACATTCAATAATGAGGATATAGAACTGAATATGAATATGAACCTGAGGAGGTGTTCTAAAAATAATTAAACATTTTAAATATCTTGATCTTGATAATTGAAATATATGTTGCATGTGATGTAGAAATAAAAAAAAAAAATTCAGATAGCAAAAACTAAACTAGGGAAAGAAGAAGACGAGGAAGACCTGGGATATCGAAGTGGAAGAATCCATGATGGGTCATGGTCTATGTGAAGAATGGATCTTAAATAGGACATTATATAAATAAGCCATCCAAGCACTTAAGGAAACCCACTATTAATGGAAAATCCTAATAAAAAAAATAAAAAATTGTGGATTGTTGGTTGACTGTTATTTGAGATTTATTGAAGTGTTGGCTGAGATTTATTGAAGAAAAGTTAATTAAAAAGTATACATTACTAATCTTTGTGTCCCCAGGCATATTGGTCAGGGAAAACTATTATTAAATTGGGAAAAGTCAGAGAATTTCACTTCAACTTTCTGGTAGCCATGCTGGATTGAGATTAGTCAGTTACTGATAATGGGGTTCACTTGTTTCGAGAAATCAAGTAAGTCATGATAGTCCTTAATCCAGTCTAAGGATGGATGGTCTTTGTTTGCAAATTTGAGTAGAACTATGTGAAATCGACCTGCAAGGATAATTAATGTAGTCCAACCATATTCAATTTCAACTATGTTGTTCCCCCTAATGTCTAATCATACCAACTTGAAATTGCCTACTTCAGGGACAGTGGCTACAGACTGGAAAAAAGTCAGGTATTTTCGTTCAATTCATGGAATTAATTTCTAAAAGAATTAAAAGGTTACTAAGTAAAAACAAAATAATAAAACTTAAATAAATCAGGTGTCCACATATTTTTTTACTTCCTCACTGCAGAATGCAGGGAAACTTTGTATTCGTGCAGATGGTTAAAATTTGTTTATCCTCAGATCAAAAATTTCTACTTGCATTTAACATTTTAGACATCAATGAATCAATGTGGTTCTGTGTCTATTTGCCTGCAGTCAATTCAGTGTGATACAAAAACTATCGTTAATCCAATTTTAATGAAATTTTTATTGATTGTGCTGGATAGTGCATTGATAATCCCATCCATATAATTTTTCTTTACTACTTTGACTTATTGCATGTGTAAAATTATTTTCTTAGACATATTTGAAGAAAGACTTCGATTTGGTTCATAGCTGGAGGGAAGTTGATGATTATTTGAAAAAAAAATATGTAATGAACATAAGTATTTTCTTAGTCATGCTTGTATTTTACAGTTAGTTCATTTTGGCTCATAATTAGAGGGAATTTGTTGATTAGTTATAAAATAATGAACCTCCCCATTAAAAAAAGGAAAATCTTTTTTTTCCTTCATACCCATATAATTCAAAAATGGCTCTTCCAATTTGACCTGAAGTTGTATATAAATAGTGTTCCATTTAACAATTCAGATTAATATAATTGTTAAGAATATGGAATTGAAATTTGGTATACTAGGATATATCAGACAGAAACAATAGAAAGGAAATTAGAAATTCACTAATTAATTTTAAGGAAAATCCAATTATGTTTTATTTATCTTGTTCATTTTGTAAATTAGTTTTTAAACATAATCATTGAAAATTTGTTTTATTTCTAATTGTTAGTGTTTATTACTTCAATATTTTTTTATGGTTTAATACGTTGACATATTTATGTTACTTATGTTTTAGTTTGTGTTTTATTTATTAAGTTTTTAATGTTTTCTGTTATAGTCAAAATTGTAACGAACTATAGGGTTGTATCAAATATTGTATGTTATAACTGGTGTTCACTATACCCAATGTATTGATTATATTAAACAGTGTGATATACAAACATAACATCCCAATGCATGCATATGTGTTTGGAGACGTATTGCAATATTCATTATGCGTAATTGATTAAAAAATAATTTTCGAGGAATGTAAAAATTCCAACCAATTGAAAGCATTTATTTACCTATTCTTAAAATAGGTACATATGTATATTCTAAACTATATGTAAATTATATATATTCTTATGCGTATTAAATATGTAAGTGTATATTTATTTTATTTTAAATTTATTCATGTATTATCCAGCTTGTTATTATACTTCAAAACAAAAAAATCGAATGCATGTAATACAATTTTAAACATGGGCGAATTTGAAGAGAGTTGTTGCCTAATAATAATTATCTTATTTGCCTTAATAATATTCTATGTAATAACGCATTTTTTTCAACTTGCCTGAAAAAATTCAGGAAAGGTTGTAACATCCCTAAATTCGTTTAGGTTATTATATATATTAAAGTTTTCCAATATTTTCCATAAATATATTTTCATATTATATTTATATATAATATTGCAAGCTATTTCCAAACTCTTGAATATTCTCCATGTAGCCATTATCAGCACTAGTATCATCATATGTCTGAGGAATTGGTATAATTTGTTAACAATTGTGATGCTTAACTTGGTTATCCTATTCCAAAAGTTCATCATTCAGGGAGAGAATTTTGGATATCAGAATATGACTTATCATTTGCGATGGTTGAAGTTGTTTTGTAAACATTTCTGGATATTAGACCGGAGTGTGTGAAACTGTTAGCTATGTCTTCCTTTAAAATCATTATGCATGGCTTTAAATCCATTATTGCACCACAACTATTATTTTAAATCAAACATCATTTTAATTATTCTTTACACCCATTTTTTACTAAAGACCTTCTTGACTGAACATATATCTCCTTGATCTTTAGGTTGTGCAGATGTATAATTTGTTGGCAAAAATACAAGTTTTATGTGTTTTCAATTGTCAACAATAGATATAGCTATAGCTAGGTTAAGCTGAACAATAGTTGAATGAATGTTTTTTTCTTGACTTTCAGTTTGTTGTCATATTTTCAACAATTATAGAAGTAAACCCTGCTTCATCCACAGAAACCATCCATAATCCACAGAAAGTGTTTTCACACTCTTGAAACATTGATGCATTTTTTAAACTTGGCAGTAAATCTTTTTTTTTTTTTTTTTTGAGATTTTACTGCCTAAACATCTCTCCATTAAGTTTGAAGACATTAGGTTTGAATAAAACAAACCCATC